AGGGTTGCTATTCTTCATGTTAATCTATGCACTTTTTTTTTGCTCGTGAGTATCTCTGGTATTTACTCGATAGCTTTGATCTGCTCAGGATTTACTTCAATACCCCTGTTAGAAACGAGAAAGCCTAAAAACTTACCTGAAGTCATGCCAAAAGCGCATTTTTCTGGATTTAGCTTCATATTGTATTTCTGGAGAATCTCGAAAGTGTCTGACAAGTGTTATCTCCCGCCTATGTTGATTTGACCAGCATATCGTAAATGTAGACTTCCATGGTTTTTCCCAAGTGCTCTTGAAATATTTTAGTCACCAACCTTTGATAAGTGGCTCCAGCATTTTTTAAACCAAATGGCATGACTTTATAACAGTAACTCCCCTTGTCTATGATAAATAAAGTTTTTTCTTCATCTAGAGAGTCCATTTTTATTTGGTTATATCCTGAATATGCATATAAAAACTCAAAAGTTCATGTCCTACGGTAGAATCAATTAATTGATCTATATATGGCAGAGGAAATGAATCTTTAGGACATACTTTATTTAGATCAGTATAATCTACACAAACTCGCCATTTTCCATTCTTTTAGGAACTACTACAATATTAGTTAACCAGTTAGGGTACTTTACCTCTCGTATCGAACCAATTTTCATAAGCTTTTGTACCTCATCTTGGATTACCTGATTTTTGAAGGATCCCTGTTTCCTCTTCTTCTGCTTGATAGGTGGGTATGATGGGTCCTCATTCAATTTGTGAATCATTACCTCTGGTGGTATACCTGTCATATCTGAATGTGACCAAGCGAAGCAATCTACGTTAGCTTGTAAAAATTCGATTAACTTACCTTTCATTTCTGGGCATAAATTTGCACCGATGTAAACTTTTCTGTCTGGCCAACGTGTAAATAGCACTATAGCTTCGAGTTCTTCAGTAGTGGTCTTAATATTTTTATTTTCTTCTGGCTCTTAAATAACATCAGGTCTCGAATCAATATCAGTCTGTCCTGGTATGCCTTCGGTTGAGGTTTTTGCATCAATGTCTTCAACCGAGTTCTGTAGTTGCTATTTTGCATCTGTATCATTGATTACCTTGCTCGAAACCACCACCGAGTTGATACTTCTTGAAGCTTGCTGATCTCCACAGATTTGACGGATTCCCCACTGTGAAGAAAATTTGATAACCTGATGTAATATGGATGGGACGACATCCATGTCATGAATCCATGGTCTTTCCAAAATTATATTATATGTCATGTCCGCGTCTACCACCTGGAACTTCGTATGCTTAACAACTCTTTTTGCAAACGTGGTGAGCAAAACTTCCCCTTTTGTGATAACACTTGAATTATCAAACTCGGCCAAGGACCATGCCTTTGGTATCACCTTGTCGTTAACTTGCATTTTGTTCACCACCCTTAGTAAAATGATGTTTACTGAACTACCTGGATCAATCAAAACTCATTTTACGTTAGTATCGTGTACAAGTAAAGATATTACCAGTGCATCGTTGTGAGGAATCATCAATCCGTCTGCATCTTCATCATCAAATGTTATACTATCTCCATCCAAGACTTGGCGAACTCGCTTCCCTTGAGTAACTATGAATTTTGACGTCTTTTTTGCAGTTGTATAAGTTACACCATTGACCTCATCTCCCCCGGTTATCACATTAACTGTTCTTTTTGGTGATGGAGGTTTTGGGAGTTCCTGTCTATTCTTCATATATGATTGTCTTCCTTTCTCGCTGAACATGTCAGTTAGATAACCTTATTTCAAAAAGTGCTCGACCTCTCCCTACAGTAGTCTACAATCTGTTGTTCTATGGCCATGATTGTTATGAAACTTACACCAGAAATCTGGATTCCTTTTGCTAGGATCTGATCTGATTTCATTAGGCCATCGCACCTTATCTCCCATATCTCTTAAAACAGCTACTAACTCGGAGGTGCTGACATTAAAGCTGTAATCTCCTACTCTTGCATGTGTACCAGAATCGTTGCCTCATACATCCCGTTCCTTTCTGAACCTAGATGAAGAACTCGTATCATTTTGCCTCGGTCTTGAATCGAATCGTGTGTTTTCTTGTTTAGATCAAGGGTCCCGCCCAGCAGGTCCCATGTAAGGTTCGTACCTATTTTTGGGTCCTTTTTTCTGATTCTGAATGTCTCAATCTTGCTCTTTCATGGTCTCTTGGTTGTGCAACAATGTCTTCTTCTATCCGCAACTTTGTGATGTATTTGTTGTACATATCGTTCCAAGTTGTTGCTGGAAATTCTCGCAAACTCTCTTTCGGTCTTCTCGTGGATTCTGAACTTTTCTCATTTAAATTACTCGTGAATGTCATAGCTGCCCAGTTATCAGGTACCCGAGGTAATATCATCCTCTCCCGCTGGAATCTATCTATGAATTCCCTAAGTAATTCTGTATTCCCTTGTTTTACCTTAAAGATGTCTTCCATCCTTTTTTCAACCTTCTGAGCTCCCGAATGTGTTTTTATAAATGAATCTGCAAGCTCGGTAAAAGAATCAATAGAGTTTTTAGGTAAAAGAGAATACCATGTTAATGCTCATTTGGTGAGTGTTTCACCAAATTTCTTGACCAAAACTGATTCAATTTCTTGCTTGGTTAATCGTTGCCTTTCACGTCAGTTGTGAATGCAGTTACGTGATCTCGAGGGTCAGTCATTCCATCATATTTTGGAATATCAGGCATTTTAAACTTTTTCGGAATTGGCAAAGGCGCTGCACTTGGCTTCCAAGGATGTTGCGAATACTTGTCAATATCCACCCCTTTGATCATGGGTGGCACACTAGGTATTTGCTCTATGCGATCGTTTTACTCCTTCAATTATTTCTGCAAAGTTAGTACCAAACTTTATAGATTAGAATTATTTGGTGTATCTAACCCTCCATCACGAGATTCGTTTGGAATTCCTCCACTTCCAGAGTTGTCAAGTCCTGAGCGTGGGTCTTATAGGGTTGTTGTATTGACCGGTGGAGGAGTTTGTGGCGCGTTGGGCAATCCTCTAACAAAAGGTTGTAGAGAACTATTCACGTGTTCTACAATCAATTGCTTTAGAGAGTCCTGCTCTACAGTTTGTTCATCTCCTTGTTGATCATTAGCGCGCGATGTAGACCTTTTAGGTGAACCTCCACGGGATTACTGAGGGGATCCCGTTGGTGAAGGGAGTGGTGGAGTTCCACCTTATAGGTTCAAATGATTATTTTCGTTAGCAGTTGACATAGTTGATTGTTAAAAAGTAGAATTTGAAAAGTGAAAAAATTATCAGATTCCCGGTAATGGAACCAATTTATTTTACCAAAAATAGATTTCCCGATCAAAGTCAATATCGAGATGAAAACAGGTTACTGATAACCAAGTTTTACTTTACTTTCTCAATAATCTTAAGAGAAATAAAAGAAATGATGAAAATAATTAACAAAGAAAAATAAGGAATGAATTGACAAATACTTCCCGAAATCAAGGCTGAAAATTTGGAGACTANTGGAATTGTCACCCTTATATAGGAGCATACAATCGTAACGGTTATCATACTTAATTTGGACTAATTAAGGGTATTAACTGTATTGATTGCCAATTACCATAGATAACCGTAACTGACATATTTATGACTAAAGATTCCTTATAACTGCTCCCGATTTCCCTTCCTTATTTATCTTTGGTTCATGTATCTTCCCTTCTTTGCAGTCTTCATTCATTCCGTTCCTGTTTTTCCTTTGACAACTATTAGGCTCGGTTCTTTTCTCTTATGCTACCCCGTGGATGTTTCTCCCGTACCTTTCGCGCATCTTAGTTCAATTAATTTAGAATGCCACTTGTCGCTATATCGACGCTCCACGCGTCATGCCTCGTCAGCTTAATGTCGTTCCACGTGTCATGACTTTTTCCACCTATACATAAGGTCTTTTTAGAATGATTGGTAGAAAAAGTCAAAATAGAATACATGTTGAACTATTTTGTAGAGCAGCACAACGTGAGCATATTTAACCAATAAAATAAATTTATCATAAGAAATCCATCTTGAGGACACACTCCTACAAGCTAAAGGGACACGTTTGAAATGTTTTGCGTCCATCTCCATTGGGCATGATTAACGATTGCGGTCTTCTTCCTCGAAACATGGTTTATTAAGCCTTTAGAATCTTTTTACTTGAGGCAGTAGTGTGATTATGATTTTTTGCTTGGAAGATCTAATTTTGGCCTCCTTACACCGACATTGTTATTATCTTTTTGTTTTTACGTATGCTCTCTCATCATTCTTGCTCTGACCTTTTGCTTTTGCTCTCTGTCCCCAACTTTCTTTTTGATTCCATGCAAATCCCTAGTTTTCGACTTGGGTATGGTACACAGGATGCTCTAATTAAGATTTTTGTTATGTTTTGATGTGAGTACTAAGAGTGTGGATGTGTATGTACAATGACTTATTTTAACCCCCCAAAACCTAATGAGATCATTATAGCTTAGCAATGTCTCTTCATTTGCGCTATAATTTAAGACATAACAAATTTTTCACTTTTTTCAAAATCATCGTTTGGTCATAAATTTTTCAATTTTCAGATACATTTTGAAATTTTTCTAAAATTTAAAAAACTCCAAAAAAATATTTTTCAAAATTTCACTAAGATCACTCACAAAACTTCAAAAACAAACAAAAATTATATTCATATTCAAACACAACTCTAATTTTCAAATACCATTCACTTGAAAAAATTCTTTTTTTTTTTTAAATTTTACAATTCTTATGTCCAAACGCCCACTTAGATTCACTTAACTATGACTTGTTAGAAACAAACTGACAGCCAATTTTAGCAGAAGAAATTTTAACTTCGCCGTTCTTAATTAATAAAAATGAGAAATCCAACTCGAGGACTTCCTAAATGTCACCCATCTAGTACCTCTCCCCTAAGCAAGCAGAAAAAGTCAACATAACATTTTGCTGCGACAAATAAGAAAAAGGTTGCGACAAATAAGAATAACATGGCCAAATCCGAAATGGAAAAACTGTTATATATCGTTCTTTTTTGTCAATTTGATCCGCACATAATTCAACAAAGTCATATGTTGTACTAAGAGCAACTCGTGAAGATGAGGAAGCAAGAAAAACAAAATTTTCCCACAAGAGTGCACTACGTACCCCAAACCCTAATTAAGTACCTGTCAACATGCATCTACTACTGCAGCTGTTGAAAATAAGATACTTTACAATATTTCCACCTTCTACCTATTAAGTAAAAAAACAAAAGCTATTCATCTTCCACATTTCATGAATTTTTTCAGCCAATGCTAACACTTAAGCAAGTTAGAAATAGGGCCAGCTTAGAACCAATACATGACGGCAACGAGGTTAATTTTAATTAGCCTAAAGGAATTTGCAGAGTACGCTACCAGAGCTTTTCCTCATATCCCACTTGTGGGAATCCATTGAGTTTGTTGTCGCTGTTGTTGTTGTTGCTACCTGAGCTTATCTTATCTTGCAAGATCAATAGGACTGATGAGGCCAGATGAAGATCTCGGCTGGTGATTGCAGTAATGGCATTGCAGCTATCATATTAGTCATCGCACCAGAAGTATCAGATGCACCGCCGTTGTTGGAGTACGGAAGGTGGGGGAAGAAGCTATGATGGTAAAAGGGTTGGTTCGCATCGTATGGAACTCCACAAGGGATAGCGGAAACAGGGGGAATTGGCCCGAAATTGATGCTACTGCTGTTGACACTGCTGCATTGAGTCTGCTGTTGGTAGTTATTGTTCAATGATGGTTTTTGCTCCGACTCGAGGGAGATCTTCAACCGCTTTGCTGCTCCGCCTATAGGGAGTGCACTTTTCATAATGGCCTCGACATCATATCGATTCATTTCGAAATTGGTCACTGCATTCACTCCCCTGAATTTTATTGCTGCTATGTCATACGCTTCTGCTGCTTCCTCCTCAGTAGCTGCAATAATTCAGACAGGTTAATTAAAATGTCATTTGAATAGAACAAGTAACCCCGAAAGAAGAGCAGCTCGATGAACAAAGCATTCCACGTTAACGCTAGGTCCGAGAAAGGATCGCACCAAAAGGGGGTGTGATGCAGACAGTCTACCCTGATGCAAGCACCAGCGGCTAATTACACCGTTCGAACCCGTGACCTATCAGTCATACGGAGACAACTTGACTGTTTTCTCCGAGGCTCCCCTTCAAAACAAGTAAACCCTGCAATCAAGGAAATTATAGTTACCAAATGTTCCTAAATACAGATCCTTGTTCCCAGCAACACGGCCAATTCTCGCTTGCCAACGACCTTGTTGATGATGCCTGCAAAAGTTCATTAACACAGCTTATGAAACTTGAAGAATATTGATCTCACTCTATCTAGAACGCGATTAGATATTATATTACAAGACGAATGAGCAGTACTTAATTGCTACAATAAATACAAACCTTGTAACGCCCCGATAAATAGAAGCTCCTCTCGAGAAACCACTACTTTTCCTGATATTCAAGAAATTTATATGAGAATAATCGATACCATAAAATAGCAACACGACAATAATGGGGTAAAGGGTAAAATTTATATACCTTCTTAGAGAGGCTATGAATTCTTGTTTGGTCATGTGCTTCATATCCTCCAATTCTTTAGTATAATTTGAAACCTGGAAAATATATCAGTCAGTTGATATCCCATGCATAGAACATTTAGGAAAATTGAAAAAGGTGTATAGTATATTACTGGGAAATTGGTAGTAGCTGTTGGACCCCAATACTTTAGAGCTGCTAAATCATAAGCTTTTGCTGCCTTGTCCTCCTTGTCATATCCACCTATTCATTTTATAAAAATTCTAATTGTTAGTGATCTCGTGTTATGCTTAACTTTGAAAAGATTTGTCCAAAAGATTGAAATAATTAGAAGTGAAAATTGAGGAAACATACCCAAGTAAACTGCAGATGAATTCCAGAATTTTGAGCATAGGCAAGAAACCAACGAATGCCAATCAAATTAAAGGAAAAAAAAAGGTGAGACACTAATCATTACAAAATCAACTGGCAATAAGTCAAGAATTTTGCATAATAAAAAGTGTAAAAACAGAGAAAAAACAAGAAAGAAAAGCAAGATGCATGCGTATAGAAGCTTTAAACATTTGAATTTCTATATGTGGATGAGCAAGATAGTGACATGTCAAAGCTTGCCCAGACCAAGAAAAAGGTAAAGAAAATTGTTCCCGTTATTAAGACACATACTGCTTAAATATTTATCAATAATAACTTTCCTTAATACTCGTTCACTTTTATTTATTCTAAAAATGAATTTTTATTTTTACTCGTTCATTTTCGCATATCAAGAGAAAAATAATTTATTTTTTTTTATTTACTCTTAGCATTAATTACACATTCCAAATTTATTAAGTCTATATATCAATTAATATGGTATCGTGATAAATTATATACGTACAAATTTAATGAAATTATAAAGGGCAGTTTTCGCAAGTTTTATGTCAGTCAAGTACCAAGTGCCGACATGTAGATATTAAAGCTGTCAAATCCACTATTTGTAGGTCCACCTTGACTACATGATCAGCATCAAATCAATATCACCTATATCTAGGTGTGTGAATTCATAAAAAATGGTGGGCACCTGATTTAAAAGGATTTTAACCTACGATTTTTATTTATGCTATCCGTATATTTTCACGCGGACAAATTCTTAGTCTTATTTTGTAAGTTACTAATCTCTCTTTTAAGAAAAATAATATGTAATTATCTTTTAATTAGATTACCTCTATAATGTTAAAAATTCTTACACCATTTCTCACAAGTGGAGTATGGGAAAATGTGGTAATTTAGAAACTGTTCTACCGGATAAATATATGGCGAAGAAAATGATTAACTCCTGGACCAAACCCCGAACTTTTGTTTTCAGATTGATAAGAATAGTATTTTCAGACATGGTTGGCATTAAAATGAACATCAAAGTCGGAATACCAGAAAATAAATTGCAGAAAACTCTGAAAACATAAACAGAATGGCGGCCCATCTGATCAAATCAGTTGAAAAAATGATGGAAAAGAAAGAAAAAGAGGTATAGTGTACACTAGCACATAGATTAGGAGCAGACAAATTGCAATAGTAAGAAAGAAAAATACAAAAAACAAGTACCAAGTAATTGTACATTCGTATGTCACCACTCAAATCAATCATAATAAATTAAAGTACGAGTTGAAAGAAAACAAATAGCCTTCTGAAACCTGATCAAATTAATGCTTTTCAATTGCATGCAACTGTTCTACTCACAATTGTACTATGGNATATATATACAAAAATATAAATTTTTCATCTATTATTTTGTAAAGGCTATACAAAGTCATTTTCACTATAATTATTCAAGAATGCCCCAAAAAAAATAGAAAAAGAGAAAAGAATATGCTTTTACGAGTAAAGGTGTTGTCCGAGTTAAATACACTATTTTAGTGGAACGTCCACTTAACAATAAATGCAACAACAAACTAAGTGAAAATATCACAAATAGGGTTTGCAAACAATATACCTACTTTGTAAGGGTAGAAAGAATACTTCTCATAGATCGAGAAAATAAGAATTATTGGATAGTCCATTTGTCTCAATCAATGTGAAGAAGTTCGGACATACATTGTTTAGAATTATGGAACTACATGAAAAGTCCTGTAAGGAAACATGATTGTAATAATTCTAAACACTTAAAAGAGTTTGAAAAATTTGCAGTCAAAAAATTACTATTTGACTCTTCAAATAATAACACATTCACAAATTATCGTTACCGTTAAAAGCAATCGAGTAAATTAGATGTGTAACAAGGTAAATTTTGTACGGAAAAGGGTAAAAAAATTTACTACTTCGAATGAAATTTACCTTGACGCCCTTTTCTAGCTTGACCCTCTCTTCTACAGCTATTATCCCATAGATGCGCTTCATATCTTCCTGTCCATCTATGTCTGCTTAAAAACAAATCAACTTTTAATTTATCCGCTTAATTCTTACCGGTCAATATTATTTAAACAAAACAGTCCGATACACAAAGTATTTTACGGTAAAGTCCGAAAAAAAATTAAGGTGTGATGTATGCCGCTACCTGATACAAGTATAGTAACCGATTTTACGGCTCAAACCCAAGTATAGTGACCCGTAATGAGAAAATATTTTTTACTTGAAGGCTCTCGTTCAGTCAATATTATTTAATAGTACTAAATAATTTTCCAAATCTAATGATAGTTGATGGACAAAAGTTACTAAAGTAATGGAAAATTTACCTTGTAACACCTCTGTAAATGGAAGTTCTTTGACCAAAATTATCAGTAATTTTCTTACAATTCTCAGAATCAACAGCAACAATAGCTTTTTCCGAGGTTGTTGTAGTAGTATTAACAGCCAAAGACAAAGCACCAGTAGGATACTGTGAATAACCCAACTCGTTACTCGATTCAGTAGCAAACTCAGTACCCATAACATGTGAGTCATCAACTTCTGAAGCCGAGTTAGCCGAGAATGTTTGAAAACCACCGTTGAAGTAACCGGCGCCGGCGGCTGAGCCACCGTGGTCATACATGTGAGTCAACGACGAATCTTGAGTCTCAGTCGTTTCGCCGCCGAGAAAATCCTCAAGCTTCGGCGGCTGTTGCTGTTGGTGTATTTGTGAATAAAAAATCAATGAGNTATATATTCTAAGGAAAATAAAAACAATATCATAGCTAAGCAAAATGGTGTTTTTATTTTTTGGGAAATAATTATTCTGTTAATAGAGTGATGAAAGATCTTTGACAAAAATAGCCAGTAACCGAAATAAGACCACACGGTTGCATTTTTCTTGTCTTTTTCCTACTTTTACTTCCTCAGCATCTAAACAGAAATTCCGGAGTAGTACTTCATTCAAACTTGTATTTATAATTTGAACATATATTTTTTCTTGTCTTTTCTTTATCTTTAAAAAAGTTGACAACTCTGAAAAAAATGAAACAAGACATTGTATGCACCACTAGGTAGTGGGGAAATATCGGTTTGTTCTTTCACACTTAATCAGAGTTCTCAGCTCGAGCAGGTAAAAAAAAAGGCAGTAAATTTTGAATACCAAATTAATAAAATAAAATAAAAAAACATTGCATGCTTACCGTGGGGGAAGAAGTTATTATCAGCAAAATAGTAATGATTTGAGTCGGCAGATTGAAGCATATTAGAAGACTGAGGAGAAGAAGAGTTGAGCATTTCCATTGAAGACAGAGAAAAAGATAACCAGTTATTATTCTCTGGAGCCATTTGAAGCTTTTTAAGTTCACAAAAACCCTAATAAAAAGAAGAAAAATCCACTTATAAAAAGTTCAAGAAATATCAAATTATTTTGGATTTATGTATGTGTTGTGTGGACACATTCTACTTCTTCTTTGACTAGAAGGGACAAAAGGGGTTGTGAAAAAGATTCAAAAGAAGTGATTAAAAAGCATGCAAAATAAAGAGAAGCAAAGCCAAAGAAATTAAAGCTGCAGTAGATGTGAACTACTAGCAATATTTAGTTAAGGACAAAATTTAAGAGGTCAGAGAAAAATGGAGAAGATTAAAGCTAGAAAGAGAAGAGAGGAGATTAGAGCAGGTGGAGGTATATAATAGGAGGGAATAGCGGTTTCATTTACCATCCGGCGTAAATTCAGAGGGACGCACTTGAACAAACTATTTAAAGGGAAAGATTGATTTGTTAAAAAAGAAAAAGAAAAAAGGAGCTGGTAATCATTTTAATAATCCTATGGAGCTATAGTTTAAGAGTTTACTGTAGTTTATACATGAGGGTAGTGTAAGAAGTTGAGAGTTTAAGTGGGTATTTGGACATAAGAATTGTAAAATTCTAAAATTTTAAAAAAAAATAATTCAGTGAAAATAATATTTGAGAATTAGAGTTGTATTTGAACATGAATAAGATTAGTATTTTTGAATTTTTGTGGATATGATTAAAAATAAATTTTTGAAAAATAGCTTTTTGTAGATTTTGAAATTTTTTAAAAATTTCAAAATTCATATTCAAGTGAAAATTAAAAATTTTATGGCGAAACACTGATTTAGAAAAATAAGTAAAATATTTTCGAAAAAAATAAAAAAATTCTTATGTCCAAACGGGCTCTAATAAAATTTTGTGTATCCACAGTATATAGAGATTTTACATTAGATTAAGTTATTTTACAACAACAAATAAAATGTACACGGCATATCTAATATCATAACCTGGAAATTGAGTAATAATAACTTGTTATAATTGATTAAATCGAACTGATAATATTTATATAAAAAAAAAATCACTCCAACGCATACAACTAAATAAAAATATTATTGAATATTGCAAGTATTTGTTGGAAATCAACAAGAGATTGTTTGGCTAACGAAGGTCACAATCATGAAGAAGCTATAATAATAATTTGGGAGGGGTCGCGCAAGGAAATGAAGTTTCTTCTTCTACCTAATTCAAGCATTAATGTAGCTTACAAGAGATTTAATTAAGTAATTTTTTTTAGTTTTTCCAATGTATCCAAAAAAAATATTATTTATATAATTTAACCGTTTACGATAGATTATCGCTCTTTTTAAATTACAACATCAAGTTAGATAAGCATAATTATATATTAATTGTACATCAATTTTGCTTATGATTATGTAACAATTCTTTACATAGCCAATAAGCAAACATAAACTCATACAGAAAAATGACAGGAATAGTAAAATAGGGGCGAAGGAAAGCTGTGACTTTTTGCACTGCGCAGAAGAAAATATGTCTGAAACAAAGTTGCGAAAAAACCGGGCTGGTGGATAATATATATTTCATCGGGAAGTAAAATTCCAGGGTTAAAAAGGCTGGCAAAGTTTATTTAATTTTTCATTAGATATTTCTGAAAGCTTGTGGTAACGTGAGTGAAAAAGTGGTAGTAAGAGCCATAAGAAATTTTTTACTTTTTTATAATTCTTTTTTGAAATCAGCGTTTGCTCATTAATTTTTTAATTTTTACTTAAAAATACATAATAAATTTTTTCAAAAATTTGAAAAACATTAAAAAGCTATTTTTAAAATTTTTTACTCAGATTACTCAAAAAACTTCAAAAATAACCCAAAATTATATTCATGTCCAAACACAACTCTAATTTTCAAATATCATTTTCACTTGAATTTTTTTTTTACTTTTTTTTTGGAATTTTATAATTTTTATGTCCAAACGCCCACTAAGTATTCTATTTCAATCATGAGATTACGAATTTACGTTTATGTTCAAACATAAAAAATGAAATAGCGTAATTTTGACAATCGCTTCATGTCCATAAAACCAAGTACTATTTGACAACACAAACCAAGTAGCTAAGTGTCCAATACACTTTTACATCAGTTCATTAATTTGTACTCTTATGGCAACTTTTTTTTCTTTTTGGATAGTAGACAGTAAAATCATGCTAATCCGTTGGTGCGCGTCACCATTTTGATAATAGAGGAGTCCGGAACCTAATTGTGGGTTTTTTAGACTCAAATGACCGAAATGAGTAGAAAAATAATATTGTGACCAAATTATATATAGCGCCCTTTTAAATGGCGCTATACATTAAGTTGATTAGACTGGCAGGTATAGCGCCTTTATAAACGGCGCTATACATATTTTGTGGGCCCACCAATAACTCTTCTGCGCTTAACTGATATAACAATAATTCAAATGGGTATAGCGCAATTTAAAAGGGCGCTATACCTCAAAAAATTCGACCCCCGGGATTGGACATTACCTTATTTAAAGGCGTTAAAGATTTTGCAAAAATCCATTCAGAAATATTCTCAACTCATGTTAAATTTTTCTTCTTGTTAAATTCTCAAGCATTTTGTCATAATGTCTGAAGAGCGAAAAGTAAGGGTTTTATTATATTGGGGGGAGGTAGGGGGGAGGTTGTGGTGGCGAATAACTCAGTGAGCTATAGTTTATCTCTACAGTGTCATGTTAAGTTGCCACTTACAATGGAGTACGATAGACTGGTATCGTTGTTGTGTAACAAAATGAGTGTGAGCAAACGTTCGGTGAACCTTAAAGTAACCAGAAGATATCTGTATTCTGTCATTCCGCAAGGGGTTGCTTGTTACGTTGTGTTTAACATCGAGGATGATGAAACTTTAAGTTATTTTTTGAGGACTCCGGATGAATACCGGGAATTTCTTTTGATAAAAATATTGAAAATATACGTGAAAGTTGAAGACATTCACAATAATGAGGTTGCGCAAAGCAGGGATAACCCTCAGTCACCGGGGTGGTTATTCTGGAGAAGTTTTTGCCGAACAGGTTCCGGTTGAAAGAGTTTGCCCTGATTTAAACTTATCTCCACGGGCGAATGAGGAGCGAAGAAATAATTTCTCTCCTACTTTATATAATCCACAAGACGAGTGGTAAACTTCAATTTTTCTTTGTGTTATGATGTTTATTTTTGTTGTATTGAATTTGTAGTAACACCAATATATTCCATAGGGGGTACCGGCGAGATATGAATTTTACAAGTTATGAACCCATGCCCAGTTGGAATATGCGTAGTTCTGATGTGTTGGATCATGGTGGTCCATCTAGGAGTCAACACCAACAGGATAATGTCCATCATGGGATGTCAACACACTACGACTTGTAAGTGAAGTGATATAGCAATATGTAAAGTATTTATCAATTTGAGTAGCTCATTATTTTGTTGTTTGTGCAGTGAAAACGAGCAAGATGAACCTATTGTCCTGACTCAATTGCCCGAAGATGATATATTTAATCGAGATCTGGCAGATGCACAGAGTCAAGAAGAGAACAATGATTATGACAACAATGCCGATGAGTCCGGAGATGACACACCCTTCCGTGATGAGGGTGGTGATAAGGAGGAAGAGAATGCTAGACCTGATTTGACGAGGGAGCATGCTCCACCCCCCGTTAGACCAAGAGTGTACGAGTCCCAAGTGTTATTTCATTCAAGGGAGATTCCCTACCTTGATGATTTGCCAAATATGCCGGATGTGGATGCCCTCACAAGGGATACTAACGAAATTCGGACAGCAATGTGGGATGCGTGTAGACCAACGGTGCTGGCAAAGGGCATGCTTTTTCCTGATAAAACGCGTCTAAGCAGGGCGGCGAAAATGTACGGCATAAAAGAGTGTCGTGAGATAACGGTATGGGAGTCAACTTCGGATGTATACAAGGTTGTTTGTCCTATATGGTTTATGGGTTGTCATTGGATGCTGCGTGCGAGCAAGAAGAAAACAGGTATGTGGAAAGTGGGTAAATACATTGGCACTCACACTTGTGAAATGGACACATTCAGTGGGAATCACTTCAACTTGGATGTTGACTTGATTTTTCTTGTCCTGATTCCACACATTGAAGCGTCCATAAGGTACAAGATCAAAGAGTGCATTACATCCATCCACCAGGAATATGGTTGTACCATTACCAAAAGAAAGGCATTTCTTGGGCGCAAACGTGCGTTTGAAATTGTTTATGGTAACTGGGATAAGTCATTTGCAGCTCTACCTAAGTACATGACCGCATTGCAACACTTTAACCCCGGGACCGTTGTTGAATGAAAACTTGAGCGGAGTCCGGGAATACCAGAATATATATATTCAAATACGTGTTCTGGGCATTTAAACCAGCAATTGATGATTTTCTGCATTGCCGGCCTATAATATCCATAGACGACACTCATGTCTATGAAAAGTATAATATTAAGATGTTGATCGCCGTTGCAGTAGATGCTAATGGAAGTATATTTCCTTTAGCTTTTGCTATTTGTGCCAGTGAAAGCCAAGAGACGTGGACACTATTTTGAACTACTTGAAAGAGCACGTTGTCAAATAACATTCAGGTTTTTGTCTAATATCTAATCGGCATGGTGGTATTATAAGTTCTGTAGAGAATTTGCATGCATGGCAAGAACCGTATGCCTGCCACTGTTACTGTATGAGGTACCTGAAGGCCAATTTCCAGAAGGCACATCCCAACAAGGATTTGCATGATTTAATGTGGATGGCTGCAACAGATCACCAAGAGCATAAATTCCGGAGGCACATGGAATCTATCGGGCAGGAAGACGAGGCAGCCTATCGTTGGTTGATGTGACATAGGGCTGAAAAATAGACTTTGCATGCAGATGGTGGCAGAAGATGGGGAATTCTGACTACAAATGTGTCAGAGTCTTTCAACGGGTTATTGAAGTCTGCACGAGGATTGCCTGTCACTACCACAGTGCGAATGTTATTCAAGCAGATGGCGGAG